TGGCGTGTTTGGAGGAAGTACGTCATGACGACAAAAATGTTTTTGTATTTGTCGATAGCCGAGGAGCACTGGAGTCCTTAAACAGTCGAAACCCAGTCTTCATGTCTATAGTGGAGGACTGTAAGAGAAGAATAACTGAGATACAGCTGAAAGGTTATAGTGTGAAATTCATGTGGATTCCGTCTCATGTTGGAATAGTGCTCAACGAGGTGGCGGATGACTTGGCCAAACGTGCCACATCAAAACCACAAGTTGACATTGAATGTGAATTCACAATGAGACAAATAAGAAGCAAAATCAGAAATATTCAGGCACAGGCGGGAGTGGAGAGGAGAGAGATAATGTATGAGAGAAGTCAAACCATGCAACACTACATGTATGTGAGTCAAAACACCCATTTCACTTATGGTAAAAGGAGAAATGCTTGGAGTGACTCTGTGTACATGCGGCTCAGGCTTGGGTACAAATATTACTGGGAATATGGGATAGATGTTCATGGTAATGACACGAAGTGTAAACTATGTGGTATGTTAAGGTCTCACACCCTTGCCCATTATATTCTTGATTGTCCGTTGATTAATGTATATAGAAACACTGAGATAAGGACTGTTCCTGAACAAATAGCCTGGATGTGTCACAACGGAAAGGTTGATGATATTCTTGAGAGATATAAGAATTTTGCACCAAGATTGTAATATTTTGTTGAATTATCTGCAGGTGTCTTGCAAATTGTCTATACAGTATACCTAGGTCATAAAAGTATTTGTGTGTACGTCTGATACCATACTACTTGTGAAGGAGGAAATGTATATGTTTACCTCTCAGAATGTTTGGTAATATGTTTATTGTTTGTGATGTGTGTCTATGTATATATTAACACGTTGTACTGAATGGGGTGAGAATAGCTTGAGCTACCTCATCCCTTTGTGTGTATTTTACCTCAATAAACTTATTTCATTTCATTTCATTTCAACCCACTGATGTGTCCTCGTGTCTTGAAGACTGATTGTTCTTCCTTTACCTTCACCCTTTCAGGGGAATTCAAGTTCAAAGTATGTTTATTGAGACAAGGAAAAAGATACATCTCAAAGGGTTAGAGTAGCTTGGGGGAATTATCCGAGCCTTGCTCTCAGAGAATTATTAACCTTAAGTGTTATGGCTTGGCCGCCTCGTAGCATTTACATCACCTGCAAAATTAAGTTTTACTAATTCATATTTTTACATTTTACTTAAATACAAAATGAATTGATTACAGAGTTTCCCAGCCACATTAAAGTGTGTGTGTGCAACCCGTTCTCGCAAATTCGTAAAGTCAATATTGACTTATTAACTACGTGCATAGGTGATATACTAAACATAATAGATACCCTTAAAAAGATTCATAGAAAACACCGACCTTACCTAACCTTGTTAGTATCTTAAGATAAGCATCTTATTGCTTCGTAATTACAATTATTACTTAACCTATACCTATTATAGGTTAGGTAATAATTGTAATTACGAAGCAATAAGATGCTTATCTTAACATACTAAGTTGGTTAGGTAAGGTCGGTGTTTTCTATGAATCTTTTTATGGGTATCTATTATGTTAAGTATGTCACCTATGCACATATTTAATAAGTCAATATTGACTTATTAAATTTGCGAGAACGGGTTGGTGTGTGTGTACTCACCTTCTTGTGCTGGCAGGGGTTGAGCTCTGGCTCTTTGGTCCCGCCTCTCAACTGTCAATCAACTTATTTCCCCCACCCCCCGCTCCCCCGCACACACACACCCAGGAAGCAGCTGTTTAACTCCCGGTACCTATTTACTGCTAGGTGACCAGGGACATCAGGGTGAAAGAAACTACCCATTTGTTTCCGCCTCCACCTGGGATCGATCCCCGGACCCTAGGACTACGAACCCCGAGCGTGGACCACTCAGCCGTCAGGCCCCTGTGGTGTGTACTCACCTAGTTGTGCTTGCGGGGGTTGAGCTCTGGCTCTTTGGTCCCGCCTCTCAACCGTCAATCAACAGGTTCGTGTGTGTGTGCGTGCGTGCAGTCAGAGATTTGACTCCTAATTCCTGATTTTTAATTAGTGATTAATTGATTTTGATTAATCGCTGGGTGATTAATTCAGTGTTTCCCATTTCTCATGCTGCTGATCATTCTTTCTATGGACTCTCCGTCTACAATCATCTTGTCAAGCTCATATTACACGTGTCTGCAGCTCTTACTGGTCTTCTCTAAACGTTAACTCTGACATTTGAGTGACAGTTGTGGCCCCCTAGAAGTCTACTGTTTCTCATCTCAACACGGCCACTGTGTCACTCTATCCCTGTATATTGGTAACGTGATTAATTATCCTCACCCCCTGTACTCATCTTCACCCCCCCTGTACTCAACCTCACCTCCCTGTACTCATCTTTACCCCCCTGTACACCTCCCTGTACTCATCTTCACCTCTTAAACTATATTCTCAGCTGTACTTGGAGTTCATTTCCGTCAGGTGGGTCTTTGTGTCCATCTTTGGGTTTTATAGTTCCGTGTTGTGCTCTTTCAGGTTGCAGTATTGGGCCTAAACAACGATATATTTAGTTTTAAAAATTAGAAAAGTTGCACTACGCACAATGTCTGGGAATGATTTGGTCATCGCCGGAGCCGGTCGGCCGAGCGGACAGCACGCTGGACTTGTGATCCTGTGGTCATGGGTTCGATCCCAGGCTCCGGCGAGAAACAATGGGCAGAGTTTCTTTCACCCTATGCCCCTGTTACCTAGCAGTAAAATAGGTACCTGGGTGTTAGTCAGCTGTCACGGGCTGCTTCCTGGGGGGGGGGTGGAGGCCTGGTCGAGGACTGGGCCGCTGGGACACTAAAGCTCCGAAATCATCTCAAGATAACCTAACCCGTAGACCGCAGCATGTTGGAGGCCTGATCGAGGACCGGGCCGCGGGGACGCTAAGCCCGAAATCATCTCCAGGTATGGTTTAATCATCGATTGATACGTATTGGTTGTGGGTTGATGATGCCATCAACACCAGGTACTCGTGACAGCAGAACGGAAGGATTTACAATAAAAAAAAACGAGGAAATTGAGCGGTTATTATCCGGAGCGGCGCATGGCTGACCTGCGCATCAGGGGCTTCATTCCCCCTCAGCTGCGCTCCCGGTAATTATGTCGTCAACGTCACTAACGCACCTTATCACAACGCGGCGGCAACCGTGTAACGGAACGCTTTATCCCCTCACACACACGCGCGCGCGAAATAAAATAAAATTTATCAATGGATAAATAATGGATTCGTCAGGCCAGTGCCAGTATCACAGGAAGGAACACCCGTGTCCCCTATCGTGTCCCTGTGAACTACGTTCTTTAGCGTGGTGTGGATGGTTGAGAACCGCCCCTACCCCCTCCACGTCCCTCCTCGACCCCTTCCATAGCCACGCCTAGGGACCCCCGGTCCCTCAGCGCTGCAGCTGACACAGCTCCGTGAAATTTGCCTTGAAGACATTAATTATAGATTGGGGGGTTGGGCGATTCTGTGGCCCCCGCGGACATACCTGAGGAGGACTTAGTGCAGTATGTGGGTTAGGATCAAGTTTTCTAAGGATGTAATGAGTGGGGGGGGGGTAGAAATGATAAAAAAGATATCTGTACTGTATCGATAAGAGGAAATATTTTGTTTGTTCGAGGACTGGGCTAGCCTAACAAACGTTTGCATGGTGATTGGTGATTGTATGGGGAGTGTCATAGGGGGGGGGAGTCGACGCCCAAGCACTTCACCAATGTGTCTTGTGAAGTTTGAAAATGGGTCTGAGTGTCCATAGGGTGTTTTCCAACGTCGATAACATTGACTCATCTGCAATTACTTTATTCACTCTCGAATTCTTGAAGATATCCTCACAGTGTACCCAAAATTTGCCAGTGCAGGCTACTAAACATATGGCCCTGTATGACTAACCATCCTGCGAGATGGGGACTTGTATTACCACTGCTACCTTATTTAATCTTGTGTTGTTGATATCCTCAAAATGCTTCCGGAGTCTGCCAGTGCAGATTGCTTATCACATGCCTCTGTATGACTAACCATCCTGTGTGATGGGGATTTTTTAGCATCACCTAGTTAGCTTTTTTGACACACTGTACTCCACTTCATATAGTCTAGGGTAGCTGCACTAATGCAGATGTACCTTATGTATTAATAAAAAAAAATTATTCATCATCGATAATGTTGATTCAATGTTGATGCAACATTACTCGAGCATGATTTGCCTACTGAGAAAGAGATCGGGAGAGAAGAAGGAAGAATGGGACCGAGTGAGGGAGAGAGTTACGGACAGAGACCTGGGCACCACCGGACACCACCCCCCTCCCCCTCTAGTACTGTATATATAAAATAGAATGTCTATATTTTTGTCCGAGGAGGTTGGAGGCTACATGCTTGAGGCTAGCCTAACCCAAACTTTGCAAGATGAATTATGTTGGGTAGGGGAGTGTCATAGGCCAGTTGGTGTCGGACCAAGTGAAAATGTCTTTAAACATTTCAGCATTTATACATCCCCCCCCCCCACCTCATGCGATTGTAATGAAGTCTAAAATATTTGTGTTTCCCATAGAGTTGTCCAGCAAGTACCGTGCTTCATAATACATTTTCTGGGAGGGAGATGAAGGGAAAAGGACGAAGGAAGGAAGCGGAAAGTGTTATGTGGGGGAGAAAAGGAGATGGGAAATCTCGCGTCTCGGGTGATGCAGAGAAGGGAGTATCTGGGAACCTGAGGCGAGGTTCGCTGGGAACCGTTGAACCCCCAGGGGGACCGTTGAGGACCTGTGGGCAGGTTTGAGGGGCACCCCTCAGGGGACCTGGAGAGTGAGTACCACAAGGTTGGAACACCCCGGAGAGCGCCACGACTAAGAGAGGGGTTCAAGTCAGCTCTCTGCTAAAGACTTGATAACGTGTAAAATAGTTGGATATCTTGAAATTTAAACATTTCCTGGGGAAGTGAGGACGTGGCGGGTAACATGGGAAAGGGGGAGGACGTGTGGGTGACTGAGGAAGGGGGAGGAAGGGGGTGGGAGACTCAAGGTGGGTTATCCCCTCCCACGCTTGCGTGAGTATCCTAGTGTTGACAAGAGGTGAAAGTGTGCTCCTCCCAGGAGGGCTCTCCGCCCCTCGCAAGACGAGGACCCCCACTCTCACGCTGGTAACGTAACGCCCTGTATCTGCCTTACTAGGGAGGTCCTCACCACTTCCAGCATCTTTCTTACCTCTCCACTCTAGAATATGTTTATTGTGTGCATGTGTGTGTGTTTTTTCCTATTTGTGCTTGCAGGGTTGAGGTGTTAGCTCTTGAACCACGCGTTTCTAACTGTCGGTCATCTAATATACCGACTTCAACCAGTTTTTGTCTTATCATTCTCCTACATATAGAGAAAGATGGAGAAATCTCCATCTCTCTCTCACACACACATCCCCATTGTGTTACTCACCAGTCAAGCCTGGCCTCGGGCTGGGTTTGGGGAGTAGAACAACTCCCAGAACCCCCATTAAGCAGGTAGAGTGTTCAAGTCTTGGGCCTCTGATGTTGATAGAGTTCTTTCTCATAGTACCTATTGCACCGCCTGCTATTATATGGGGCTCTTTTGCACATCCTGCCATGCCTTCTGGTCTCATGTGGTGCTATTTCTGTGTGCAGATTTGAAACCAGTCCTAGTATTTCCTAAGAGTAAATTAGTATGTATCTCTCCAGGCTTCATCGTAGAGAATACAAATGTTAATATTTTAAGCGGTCCCAATAATTTAGATGTTTTATTGAGTGGATTCTAGCAGGGAAAGATTTGTGCACGCTCTCCAGGTCAGCAATTTATTCAGCTATGAATGGGTGTGTAGTGTGGGCGTGGGGGTATACACAGTGTGGGCGTGGGGGTATACACAGTGTGGGCGTGGAGGGGCGTGCAGTGACCCGTGTTCTGGGGACTGAGAGTTATATACTCCTATTAACTGGAAGAATTTCCTGGCAGCTGGTGTGTGTGTGTGTCTGTACTCACATAATTGTACTTACAGGGGGGGTTGAGCTTCGTCTCATTGGTTCCGCCCCTCAACCATTAATCAACTGGTGTACATATTACTGAGCCTATTGGGCTCTATTATATATACATTTGAAACTGTATGGCGTCTACCTACACCACATCACTGACTAATACATTCCATTTGTTAACTACCCCTGACACTGACAAAAAAAATCCCCCTCGCACCAACCCAACCCACCCACCACAACCCTCGTCTGCAGCTGCATCAAATTTAGTCAGTTTTTTGTCAAATATTCCTGGCTTCTGAGTCCTCAACCTGTCAAGTTGTGCTCGCAGCCAGCCGGAGCCCAGCAGGGAGTGGCATATGAATATGCATATATATATATATATATATATATATATATATATATATATATATATATATATATATATATATATATATATATATATATATATATATATATATATATATATATATATATATATATATATATATATACATACATACATACATATATACAGTTGTTCGGGTGAGAGCTGAACGATCATGTTGTCATCTTTGTATTCAAAGGTTCGCGTGATGATTCCTTGGAAGTGTGTGTCAGTGTATGCTTGTGTATACGATGGCTACTATAAATGTGGCGCATTAAACTCGATGATTTCCAGGCGTTCTCAGCTGTACCTTCGCAAAGCTGTACACTTCTTGAGCTCGTCAGGTGTATATGTTAAGGCGCTATAAGAACCATCCCTTGAGATCGGTAGAGGACGGGAGACATCTCCCGTCACGCAGAGTGCAGCCGCACCTCCACAGATCTCCAGTACCAGCTCTTGATACTGGTAATGGCTCAAAAGGGCCACCACTTACGGGCTATTCATGCCCGTGCCATCTTTTGGGTGGCTTAATCTTCATCAATCAGATCTGTAGACGGTAAGTCCATTACTCACCAACCTCGTGCTACTCTAAACGTTTTGTTCCCAGTAGCTGAATCTTAAACAACAACATTGGTAGACTGGCAGTACCGGGCATGTCAAGAGCTTCATGGCATTTGCTCGATCGAGAGCACCGATGAATACTGACGTTAACCTCAAGTGTGCTCAAAACAGAAGCTAGTGATCATAAGCCTTGTTCCGTTGAGACATTTAGAGCACACTCTGCTATCTCCTCAGAGAATAGCAGTAATCCGCTTGTCTTGCGCTGTGTTGAAAACACCTATAATATCTTGGCCTTAGAGCTGTGAAAGGCCACGTTTCTTGTTCAAATATTATGAAAGCAAAATCATCTATCACAATGCTGTGAAAGCAGAACACTGGTACATCCTAGTAAAGACAGTTCTCGGGTTGCCCTTCAAAGTCCTGTCTGTTCCACAAGCACTTCCCTAAAGCAGTCGGGTAAGAGCGGCTTTCATAATGGTCCACCACCACATCTAAACGTTTGTTCGATAATTACCCTGGCGCCCTGCTCCCCACCCTTCCGGTGGCGGCTGTAGCGACAGAGACGCGTGTGTGCGCTGCCCATGCACTGTGTTATAACTTTAGCGTAGTTAATCCTACGGTGGAAATGTACTGTGAATAAAAATTAATTCTGCCTCAGCGATGAAGGCTTACACGCCAAGCTGTCTGTCCTCTTACGAAGAGCGTATCTTTTCGCTGGTATGGGTTACGCAAGGCTAAAAATTGTCGTACTAGAAAATGGAAGCGGCTGGCGAAAGTGACGTACTGTCCCGTTTTCTGTTTTGGGGTCCTATGGCTTAGTGTGTTAGGTTAGAAGTCCGAGGACGCTTTAAATTATCATCTTTCTTCACGTTTTGAAACCTTAGGTGGACGGGCTGCACACGCAGTGGAAGCTTTTCTGTTCAGCTCCTCGTGTTTTCTCAACAGCTGAAAATCTCGCGTCTTTTTTTTTTACGAAATGCAAAATATTTATCAAAACTTATGTATTTAAATCTATAATATATGTTTTTGAACCATATTAGTATTCGTTTTAATTAAATATTAACAAATTATTGAACAATTCTTAACGAGGTAAAACGTCAAAATATAAAGAAAAAAATGTGCGGTGAAGGGCTCCAGTTGGTGGTGGTGGTGTGTTGATTAGGCAGTCACGCCTTGCTAATCCCCAACTCTGCACCGCCACCACCAACTGCACCCAGCTAATCATCTGTGCAGCTACGCCCCCTGCGAGGGCGAATCAGCACGATCAGTGTAAAAAAAAAAATCACCGTTCGGTTTATTGGGGTAAAGGCGGTGGGCATCGCGAGGGTTGGTAATGGCGCCGCGGGGAGCCGCCACCCGCTCACAAAAGGGGGCAAGGGGACGCACCGATATAGTTGTACGCCAAACACACTTTATAAATTGAGACCATTCAAAGGTCCACTATAAATCAGCATGTAGTTGTGGGCGCCGGCGCGGGCGAGACTGCGTGGCTCCCGGCTGGGGTTTCCGACCTTGTGGTGACCTGCCTAAGACTGAGGCGATCGTATGAACGTTGTTATTATGGTAATGCCAGTGATACACTTCACCTCTCTCCCCCACGCCGGGGGGGTCCACCCCTTCCTCACGCCGGGGGGGGGGGGGGGGGGGGGGTCCACCCCTTCCCACATTACCGTTATGACCTCTGACCTTCTCCACTCTCCGTAAAGGATTAATCTTGCCATGGGCCTAAATTGCTCGTTTGCATTGAGAATGGCTGACGTTGTTAAATAGCTGCAGTAATTCCCGTTATTAAGTACGGCATTATCTGTTGAGGTCTGTCTCTGTCAACGGCATTGTACAGCTGTTCTGCCAAATACATAACAGCACGAATGATGCCGTAAGTGGCATACATAAGAGCATAAGAATGGTGTTACACTGCAGTAGGCATGTTGGCCCATACTAGGCAGATCCCCCGGTTAGATCCAACCTCTCTCTTTCCCATATACTTATCCAATCTATTCCTGAACAATGCTAAAGTGCGCGACCCAATAATGGCAGCTGGCAGCCCCCGTTCCATTCATCCACAACCCTATTTCAATGATTGTTAAATGTACTAAATAACTAAATTTTCTTTAAAAATAAACTAGTTTTTTAAAGATTAAAAGAGACGATGCAGATCGTCGACCTTCTCACTTGTCATGATCGCCCATAAATAGGTGTTACGAACTGCCCCAAAACGCCTATAAAGCCCCAAAGACGTGCCCATCCTATACCCAACATATTAATTAAGACTATACCTGACGTTCTCAGTTTGCCGTGCCCGATAACCCTATCTTCTCCCGGAAGTCTCCAATCCTTCCCGCGCAAATAGTCTACCCATAAAATATATACATAAGCCTCGGGGTGCGCCGCATGTAATTCCCGTTGTTGGTATCAGGAAGCCTCTACTTAGGCTTACCGAAGTCCCCTTCCCCCCTTTGGCCAATTACGGACGTAGGTGCGAACCCTCGTCACGGCCCTTGTGAATTTGTTCATTTGAAGTGATCAGTACTTCGTGTTGTTATCTCGGCCACTGGTGTATCGAAATATCTTGGTGTTGGCTCTTTGGAGTAACTCAACGTTGGTTATTGCAAGTGCAATGTGCAATTACAGATCTTCTGTGAGAACCCAGTCATTACACCCATACTCAGCTCCTCTAGGACCTGTCCTACTGACACCATCTTCTGCCCTTGTGTGCCCGCCTCCTCAACCCCGCCCTTCCCAAACCCTGCCCTTCCAAACCCCGTCCCGTAAATGAATGGCCACATCTGTGGTATAAAATAAACTATAAAAATGCCCTTCCCCCCATCAGGCGTGACTACTCCTCCTCCTCCTCCTAGTCTGCCCTCCTGGCCTGCCCACCACCTTCCCCTGGCCTGCCCACCACCTCCTCCTGGCCTGCCCACCTCCTCCCCCTGGCTTGCCCAAACGCCCAACACACACCCGCATCTGGTCGTGGGTCCTCCCCATTCACCAATTCATCACCTCTCAATATGTCGTTTTTATAAATTGGTCCGTCCGCCTTTGTTCATTTTCTATCCGCCTTTGTTCAATTCCATCTATTCGCAAGATTTGAGATTATTTTAACTTTAGGATCCTCTTATTTTATATGTGATTTAGATACCTGTTATTACATTATCCTGCTTCAAACATATGTGTGCGTGTGTTGGGATGTTGTCTTGTGTGAACACATGCAGTCTTCCAGTGTCAGTCTGCTACTATCTATGACAATGTGGAATAACTTGTAAAGAGATAATACACAGACTAATGGAGTACCTTTACCAACAGGCCTGGCAGTGCGGACACCGTCCATCAGCTGGATAACGAAGGAGCAGGTGGTGGACATTGGGTCCAGCGTGCAACTTGAGTGTTCAGTACAGTACTCACAGGACTACCCGGTGTTATGGGTCAAGCGGGGCGCTGGGGATGTACAGGACCTGCCCATCTCCAGTGGACCTGGCCTTATCATTAGGGATTCTCGGTACGCCCTCAGACATGACCAGGGCTCTGCCACCTACATTTTACAAGTACGTACGCCTCTTTATGGCATGTTTCATGCCAATATGTCTTTTTTTTTTTTAATATTGTTCCACCCATCTTGAGGTTATCTTGAGATGATTTCGGGGCTTTTAGTGTCCCCGCGGCCCGGTCCTCGACCAGGCCTCCACCCCCAGGAAGCAGCCCGTGACAGCTGACTAACACCCAGGTACCTATTTTACTGCTAGGTAACAGAGGCATAGGGTGAAAGAAATTCTGCCCATTGTGTCTCGCCGGCGCCTGGGATCGAACCCAGGACCACAGGATCACAAGTCCAGCGTGCTGTCAGCTCGGCCGACCGGCTCCCATAGGAGAAGAAATATCTTGTTCAGATTGTTATGTAAATACTTTGGGAGCTATTCTTATCTTAATCTTGTTCTTAAAAATTCACACATACAGGATTCTTTTATTAATCTAATAGTAAACGTATAACCTCTTTATCTTCTCATAAGACCGTTCACAGTCTATAATCTACAGTGTATCTTGGCGCTGTCACTTGTCTTATATATGTTTAGTATACTCTTGTGTACAGACACTAATCTTTCCTGTTTCTTATCGCCAGAAGAAAAAGAATCTGGCCAATATTGGTCAAAGTTTTATGAGTCAGAATGCTGCACTAATCATCCTTCTTCACTTAGTCATATAGATTTGACCTGAATATTTAGTAGCCTCGACGGGGATTGGAATCCTTCGGCTTGTCAAAGGTCCCTCTCATGGTTCCTAAGATTTTCCCCAGTAAAGTTTTAATGTATCTTTTTATCTCAGTTTGTATTGACGTGAAAGAGCATTATTAAATATGTAGGCTATATTATAGGTGTACTGTGCTGTACCTAACTCATAAATGGCTGCGTGTAGATTTGTTTTAAACTATGTAAGAATTGCCCTTAGAAGTGAATATATGAATGATAATTTCGCTTAGAGGATGAGCTGAAAATATATTTCAGGGGTTAAAAGATTATGCTGGGAATGACATGTACAGAAATAATTAATACTTTAATTGACCATTTGATATGAGGTGGAGTGAGGCGGGGAGGTTGATGCTACACTGCACAGTTTGCATGTGAAATTAGTTGACAGAAGTGGAGTTGTGGTGTGGAAGTTGAGGCTCTTCTACCTTCAATAAACAATAAAATACTCATTGATGCCAAATGGAAGGTAACTGTGTACATCTAAACTAAATGAATATATTTATGCAGCACTCTGAATTACATAGGTAGAACATATAGCATATGCTACACCCTATATCGCAAACTCACGTCTTCTCAAAATTACTGCTGGTTTGGTTTTGAACTGAATTAGTTATTCCAATCCTATAAAATATAGGATTAAAGATAAAGTACATTTAAGAAAGGCATGGGTGACAGAGACGCTATGAACAACAAAACTATCAATAAAAATTAATTAATTTGCATTCTCAACACCGTCCATCGGCTGGATAATAACAAATAATAATAATAATAATAATAATAATAATAATAATAATAATAATGGTTAATAACAGCATTAACAAAAATCAAACATTATTGGAAATAATGTTGGTAGTGAAAAAGCATGAAATAAAACAGTTGCATGCGTAATGATGAAGTGTGGGGTGAGCTTACCAAGCATCTGGTCACCAGATCAAGGACATCCAGGAGAGTGACGGCGGAGACTACATGTGTCAGGTCCTCATAGGCATCAATAACCGCATCACTGCCAATGTCAACCTCCTCGTGCGAAGACCACCTGTCATTTCCGACAACTCGACCAGGTAAGTGACATCAATAATACATAAGATTAGTTTACTGTAACTAGTTTACCGTTGTCAGGAACTGGAAGCCTGATAGGCTTTTCGACGATACATTAGCTAAGCCAGCCTGTCACTCATCTATATATAGTTACTGGCTGGTGCCTACGGTGCTGGACATGACTGACCACGTGACCCATCTATAGTTACTGGCTGGTTACAACTGAATCTTCTAGGGTTGCTGAGGCTTCCACTGAAGCTGAACCAGGGTTTCACACCATCCCTCGTGTACTCTGACTTTGTTGTCAATTAATTATACCTCTAATGCTTCCTCTTCAATGCACAGAGAAATTGCATTAACATGATGTATCAATGAGAAAATCAGCACAAGTCGTGACAAGGATTTGAATCTATGTTCTGGGTACTCCCGAGCAAGCACCTTAAGACGACTAGCCCACGATATGGTAAAAGAATTGCAACCTGAGATAATGGTAGAATTCCTGGACAATGAAGCCAGAGTGAAGCCGGGGGAGGGGGGGGCCTTGTGAAACCCTGGTTCAGCTTCAGTGGAAGCCTCAGGAACCCTATAGGATTTAGTTGAATCCCAGCTTGTAATCCTTGCAGTTTTAATTTGATTACAATTTAAATAATAAATTCGTTCCAATTCTAAATTTGAGTTTCACTCGACCCAGAAATCTATATTTTGCATTCTTTGGACTGATTAGTAGAGCAATGCCCACGCTTCATGATGGGTTGACGTTCGATTCCTGATGGTCCTTCCTTTACCCTTTCCTCATACAGTATCCCAACTCCTTGTCCTCATATCTCTTCCAAGTGCTTTATACAGTAGTCATACACTGACTCTCTCCTGATAATTACTCATACGCTGTAGATTGTCTATAAATTTAATTTTGCATTTACTTTCAGGTCTGTGGTGGCGAGTGAAGGAGACAGTGTAGAACTGTCGTGCTATGCAGGGGGCATGCCTATCCCAGAGATATCGTGGAGGAGAGAAAATAATGCCATCCTCCCGACTGGTGGTTCAATTTATAGGTTAGAATGCAGGAATATATTCCTTGTGTTTATAGAATTCTATATCTCTATGCTAATGTAAATTCATTTTGGTAACTTTTTTATTTTTAGCCAATGAATTTACTTTTGCTTGTCATTATTGGAATTATGTTGATTGGTCATGATTGTTTCTATCATTTATTAATTTGATCACATACAGTACAGTACAGTACAGGTATTACTTTTTAAAAACTTCCATTTATATAAATAAGTACTGTATATAGTATATTATACCTTATTAACAAGATATGAGAATCTTGTTATAAACACAACCATACATTCACGTCTGTTGTCATTCGTTAACAAATAACTACTTGTACATAGGGGTAATGTGCTGCAAATTGCCAACATTCGCAAGGAAGACCGTGGTACCTACTACTGCATTGCCGAGAATCAAGTCGGTCGTGGTGCACGTAGGAATATCAACGTAGAAGTTGAATTTGCTCCTGTTGTCAAGGCAATCCGTCCTCGAGTTTACCAGGTAAACATCTTGAATTTTGAAGATTAAATAAGTAAAGCTTTAACTTTTTTATCTTTTATGATTATGCAGTACAGTACCTGGTATAGTACTGTTTCATTTTTAGATCAATACCAAGTTCCCATGTGAAAAGGTTAAAGTAATGCATTTAAATCTCAATTTATGGTAATACCAGTACAGTATATAAAAGAATATACAAAAGAATCAGTATTCTGACCACTAATATTGGACTGTTTCAATCATTTTTGCGAATTCGCCTTGGCTATAGACACATCTGGCAGGTTAGTGAGGCTGAGCCACTACCAGAATATTCAGATTGTAAACTCTGTGATAAACCTTTAATGCATTCACTAGAACACTATATTGATGAATGTGAAACCGTAAAGGACTTTAGACCTCCTGGCCTATTGTACCACCAACTGTGTAACTATTTTATTGACTCAGGTGTTCTGGACGACATCCTAACAATTTACCCAAAATTTGCTTGTCCATTTTAAAGAATGAAGAACAATTTCTACTTATATTCTAAGCTGTATCACTTATGAACCCATCCCTGCACTTGTGTGGCAGTGCACAATAGAAAGTTGTTTTCACATATCCACACATTAAAACATTGATTGTAACCGTGATATATATGTGCTTCAGCCTACAGTTTAGGCCTATTGTCTTATGTATGACCCTCTGTCCTGCGTGACAGTGAATACTAGCATTAACCTCAATTTAATAAGACTATCAAAATCCTCAGATTAGGCAAAATTGTAATTAATTTTGTCAATAAAGATGTTAATAATAATAATAATAATCATTTTTGTTTGCAGGCTCTACAATATGACATGGATTTGGAGTGCCATATCGAAGCCTACCCACCCGCTGCAATATCTTGGGTCCATAAGCAGGAATCCATTGTTAATAATCAGCATTATAGGTGGGTGCAGTATCCAAAGTTTATATCACTATCAACTATGCTTTAGAAACGTGTTTTAAAATGATGGAATTCACTATGAAGTGGTGGTGTGGGTGAAGCACAATATACTTAGCTAGAGTGGAAATTTTGTTAGGATACTTGAGAAGCATTTTTTTTTTTTTTTTTTTTTTTTTTTTTTTTTTTTTTTTTTTTTTTTTTTTTTTTTTTGAGATATATACAAGAGTTGTTACATTCTTGTACAGCCACTAGTACGCGTAGCGTTTCGGGCAAGTCCTTAATCCTATGGTCCCTGGAATACGATCCCCTGCCGCGAAGAATCGTTTTTTCATCCAAGTACACATTTTACTGTTGCGTTAAACAGAGGCTACAGTTAAGGAATTGCGCCTAGTAAATCCTCCCCGGCCAGGATACGAACCCATGACATAGCGCTCGCGGAACGCCAGGCGAGTGTCTTACCACTACACCACGGAGACTGTCATTTAACAAGAAGGGTGGAATAGAGAGATCATGTGGTAGAGGCAGACAACCATTACCTTGGAAGGAGAGTGGAGAGAAAATTTTGTTTCATGATAGTGCCTCGGAATTGGAGAAACTTCTGCTATCCCTACGTCCCTGATGGAACGCTCCTGTTAGGGTGTAATGGGTTGGGGCTGTAAACAGTATTCTGTTTGTACACACCAAACATTTAAAAAACATTGCATTTTCTTGTGAATAAGTGACTATATAAATAATATGTGAATACAGCATAGCTTACCTTTAGTTTCATTACATAAATGTGATAAAATTAAGATTTTGACTTCACTTCCCCCTTCCCTTTTCAAATTCCTGGATATGTTCCTGGATGCAGTGACTATTGTCTTAAGCACTACAAAGTCAACAATTGTCTTAAGTAGAGAAATTGTAATCTCATATTTATTCATGTAATCTCTTTTTACACAGTATTTCCCAGTTCGCCAGTGCTGATGAATATACAGACACCACTCTTCGTGTTTTGACAATTGAGAAACGTCAGTTTGGTAATTACTCATGCATGGCCACCAATAAGCTTGGTCAGTCAGCAGCCACTGTGCTGCTCAGCGGTAAGATATGCTCTGCAATTTATCTTTTTTTCCAAGTTTTATAATCATTAATAATCATATTTTTATTACAATTTAAACTGCAGTACAGTACTAATATAATTTTGTTATTAACTGACTATTGCCAGAAAATTAAATTAACTCTGAATTATATTATTTAATTATGTTTTCTGTCTTTTAAATTGATCATTTAGTTACACAACACTGGTATTACAGACCATACTCAGAGCTAAGCATTCTAAGGATTTATAAGACTAAACTTAAATTCAATATTGAATGTACATTCTCATGACAGTAGATAAGCTATAATGTACTCAACTTTCCACCAAAGTACAGTGATACTATGGTATAGGTTGCCCCTTCACACAGTGATGATAATTTTTATTTGTGTATATTCAAGCCGCTGCATCACATGAGTGTCTCTTACAGTTTCTCCAGTATATTGCCCTTTACAATCTGGTTTTTTATTGTCCTAATATTTTCATATACTCGCTCCCCCCTATTCCTATATATTTCATTTTACTTACCACTTGTATGTGCTTGCTCATTCTTTCCACCCAATTTTTGTTTCTGCTGCAAGTGGCAATTGCTTCACATACAGATATTTAATTGCCAAAATGCCATGTGGAATAGTTTCAAATGTCATTTGTGCTTTATGTAGTTTATAACACTTGAAGGCATATAAAATGTCCACATAAAACCAGTCTTTCGAGCAAGGAGAACTTCCAAGAAATCAAATGTATAATGCTCAAAAATATAGGAATAAAATAAATATAAAAGGCCTAGTGGCCCATACAAAGGCAACTCCTTTTTATATTCACCCAAACTCATTTAATTGTTTGACATGAGCTGATAATTCACAAAACAGATTATATCTTGTAGGATGAACTATTCAACCATGCCTTTTTTTTTTAATAAAGTAGCAATACTGTACCTGTAGAAGTACTGTGTGTGTACTGCTGACAGTAATAAAAAATTAACAAATACAAATGAGCATTTACAAGGTTCTGACCTTTCATATTAGATATAGTGTTATGCACTTGTACTAAATAATTATGTACTTATACTAGTTATAGAGCTAGGTACTGTAATACTACATGTAGCACTAGGTACTCATACTAGATAGTGCTAGGTACTCATACTAGATAGTGCTAGGTACTATAATACTAGACAGTGCTACTTTCCTATTAGATATAATGCCTAGTATTCCCATTCCATATAGTGTTAGGTATATACAGTACTCAGCATCCTATACATGTATATCTTCTCTACATTACAAACTTTTACTGAATCAAGACCCAGTTAAATTCACAAGGCTGACTTGTCAGTTGCAATGCAGTTCTTTGTGTGCATATATAGTTAGGATTTATAAGATATTAGTCAGCCTGTACCTTCTCAATATGGTAAATTAAACTTAAAAGCATGCTGTTGGCAGAGAATGAGCAAGTGCATGGATTTACTTTGTATAATTGCATTAAATATATGCAATAGTCTTTTCTAAGTTAAAAACATTTCTTTTTGCCTTGCTCACTTTTCATGATGTGAAAAAGAAAGGTTTTGCATCACACATTGCTGATCTAAAAATATTCCCACTGTACCCAACCACATAGAGATTGTTGCACGCTTATAAAAACTCTCATTCTGAAACCTTCATGAAGAATGGTTGCAAAACCTGTGAGTTCACAAGGTGGTAGTTGTATTGAGAATCCGTTGACAGTTGCTATAGCATAATCTCTACCTTACCTGTCTTGACTGTATCTTTGGCTGTTGTAGAGACCACCACGCCCGTGTGCCCGCCTGCGTGTGGCACTCTCACCTACTCTGCTGCCCACACGCCCACGCCTTCCGTCCTGGCTCTCCTCGCCCTCTTTGCTGCTATCTTCCTCAGGAACTAAAGAGGTACGCAGCATTTAAAATGCCTAGCTGGCAACATATATTTTATGTTTAGCATCTCTTTAGTTTTCTATATTTTATTTATGGAAAGCATGTAATGCATGTACCTGTACACTTTTCAGCACCAAGGATGTCTCTAAACATTTTGCTTGGTCCCTCTAAGGTTGGTAGCCAATAATTATTAATTCAAAGCCTGGTAAAAATTAACTTTGCTAATAAACATTTTAGTAAAGTTGAAATTAGTCCATTTGTTGAGCTGAGTACTAAATAGCCTACCAATATTTGATTAGGTACTGTATATGATAGTTATTCCTTTAGCACTCAATTCCTAATCATATTTTCTTTAAAGGTGAAGATATTCAGCTCGCCAGAAATGGATACTGAACACTGTTCTTATTTTGGAATGTACAGTATTACGTGATTGGGTGATAGATTACTTTAAAATCAGCCCATTCTCCTAAAATGAATGTACTATACTTAGTAATGTTGTGGTTGAAAGTACAAATATTTTGTTGGATTTTACACATACCACAAGAAATTACTTTTGTATTATTGAATTTGGACAAACCGGAAAAAGTTTTACCCGATAAACAACAGGAGCCACGAGAAGGATTCAAATCCCACACACTTGATACTCCAAAGCACACGCCACAGATCACACCACAAAGTGGTAAAAAAAAAATGCAACCTGGGATTCAACTGAATCCTTTAAAAGTCCTGAGGCTTCCACCAAAGCCCAATCATGGTTTCCACACACTGCCCTCCGTGCACTCTGGCTGTGGTTCAGTTCTACTCCAATTCATTGCTTTTGACCATGTCATGGTGTAGTGGTCTAGGGGTTGGGGGGGGGGGGGTTTGAATGCTCACGACTCTTACCGATTTTCACAGTGATATACAGTATCATGTTAACTGTGATTTAAATTGAGGCATAAGAGGAAGAATTCCTAGACTACAAACCAAAGTGCATGAGGGTAATGTATGAAACCCTGGTTAGGCTTCACTGTAAGCCTTATGAACCTCTAGAGGATTCAGTTGAATCCCAGGTTGCATTGCTTTTGACCATGCTGTGGTGTAGTGGCCGAAGTCTTTGCGTGAGAGTTCCCAAAGCATTGGTTCAAATCCTCATGGGCCCCCTACTGATTTTCTCAATAGATACATTGTAACAGAATTTCAGTTTAACATAACTACATTATTTATTGATAGATTATAATGATGAAATTGCATATCTTAAATACTAAATTGGGCAAGTGGGTAACACAGGATACAATGAGCATTAGTAGCACAGGGGGGAAACTGAGGATGAAATTAGGTACTTTTTGGTTTTATTTTTGAATAAAGTATAGGTTGGACAATTGTTTTTTATTTGATATTTGAGAGATATTTGAGATATATACAAGAGTTGTTACATTCTTGTTTAATTCAATAGCGAATGAGTTCCATATATTGTGCTGGGTCTTTTTATTTGCATGGAGTCTTTGTACAGATTTAAGTCTGACTAGGAAGATGAAATTAATTTCTAGTGTGGTGCTCATGGGTTCTATTCCATTTGTCAAGGAAGTTTCAAATCAGAACTAGACTCTAAGAATAATATTTTATAAGTAAATAACACACAAGAATGTATCGAGTGAGTGTATGATTAGCACGTTTATGGAATTAAACAGAGGGGCTGTGTGTTGTCTGAAGACAGTGTATAGTTCTGATAGCAGATTTTTGCTGTGTGATAATGGGCTTGAGGTAGTTTGCAGTGGTTGAACCTCATCACAGATACCATATGTTAGACAGGGATAGATTATAGTGTGAGAACAGAGCAGGGAACACTTATGATTTTTGAGAATATACCAACAGTTTTAGATACTTTTTACGTGGGGAGCCCTGTCGTCTCCCTGAAGCTATCCAAACTGATATGTGCTATATTAGTTTGGAGTCATCAGTCACAGGAGTTCTTATGCCTACCAAGAACCACGAGCTAGAACCTGGTCCTCTCAGGGGACTTCAATGGTCTATGAGCACTTTACATTTAATAAAGTATTTCATAATTGCCATCGATCGAGGAAGAACCCAGAAAGGTAGGCGAATCAGGAAAGACCACTTTCTGGTTAATCTATGCAATCTACAACCCAAAAGATCAAAATTTCTCTCCTAGAAAGAAACCAAATGAGCAACCCTTCATGTGAAGGGTTTACTTCCACTCATGTTTCTTTCTCTTTGAATTTTGGACTGGGTTGTTTTGTCCTTTTTCTCTTGGCTTTTTTTCCGGATCGGCATCTCGTGCCTAGTACTGTCGCTTCTTATCGCGAGGTGTTTGTGGAGCCGGTCCAGCTTGCGTTACGGGTGGATGTGGATTCCACTTCATTCCACAAGCTTTCAGGTGTATTTTTTCACTTCTGGCCTGCTCATGCGCTGTCTGAGCATTCTTGGTCTTTAGACCATGATCTTTCTTGTCTTTTTTCCCCTCGCTTTGTTGTGGCCCCTTCAGTTCGAGATTGCTTTTGGAAATCTTGTTTTTGTTGGCCTTAGCCTCTGGGGGTCGGGTTGGAGAGCTTCAAGCTTTCTTCCACCACTGGGGCTTCTGTTCGTTTGGTCAAGGTGGTCATTTTGTTCGTTTGCAGCCTTCTTCTTCTTTCCTGGTGAAGAATGAGATGGCGGGCTTCCAGAGGGGTTGGTTGTGGATGCTTGGTTGGTTAGGCCAGGGGCGCATCACATGTTAGTGTCCGGTAGCGGCTTTCCGTCGCTTCCTGCAGGCCACTAGTTCTGTGACGGTGGACACTCTTTGGGTGGATCCAGTTTCCCTGGTTCCCTGTTCCAGGGATTGTATGTCTCAGGTTGTTGGCAGTGTCATCAAGTCCAGCCAGCCTGCGGTCTACCCTAGTGCCCATGATATTCGAATGTATGCTGTTCTCGCACTGGTTTTTGCGGGGGATTTTGGAAGTCAAACAGGATCCTGGCTGCCAGGTATCTAGTGAATACCAGGACGCAGTATTGCCCCCCTCTTGGGTGAGTCTCTCCTTTTACTTATCTTTGGGTAGTTAGCTTCAGGGAGCTAATGGGACTCATCACAGAAAACCAACGTCGAATGTAATGAAATGCTATTTTCTGATTGAGCCCCTCCCCCCTCTGTTTTGTCTGTTTTGATTCATCTACCTTTCTGGGTCCTTCCCTGGTCAATGACAGTTATGACATACTTTAAATGTAGTGCTCATAGGCCATTGCTCCCTGCACCTCTCTGAGGGACCCAGGTTCTGGCTCATGTTTCCTGGTAGGCATAAGAACTGTGACTGATGACCCCCAACTAATTAATATAGCATACTGTATATCAGTTCGGATTGCTTCAGGAAGCCTCCAGGACTCGCCCAGAAAATGGCCTTACATTACATTCAGTGCTGTTTTTTTGGCTGTATTGTATGTGAATACTGAAGTTTAGTCTCTTGTCTATGTCTAGGACAAGAAACTTTCCTCATTTTTACATAAAGAAGATCCATCATTTATTTCTAGTGCAGGTTTATAAAGATGAAGCAAGTAATATAAACTCAAAGGCTCAAAAATACATAAGGCTGGAAATTTTGAAACTGAGAACACTGAAAAGACTTTCCATTACATGTTAAAATGTAGATATTGAGTAAATTATTTTCAGGTAATTTAGTCTTACAAAATATTTATTTTACTTTCAGAGCATGTTGTTCCCAACATTCGGTACCGAGGCATGTTGCTCTACACAGCAGGCTCCGTCACACTTACCTCACCTTCAACCTTTTCTCTGGCCTGCCTCTTGTCATCTCTCACAAGCTCATGGTATAGTCACTCTGACTGTGTGCATTTATGCTGACACATCAGCCCTGATGTAGGTCATATGTTGTAGTCAGTTTGATCTACACTAGACATCAGTCTAAATTATGTGCTATACTTAAGTATCATTTAAACTTTACAAATATTTAAGATTTTCCTCATCTGCCTGAAGAGAAACAGATTAAAATAATCATGGAACACAAGTAACTTGTGAACAAAACATCTTAGGTTTGCAGTTACATTACATCACTGTTGCTCAATTACAAACTGCAACTTGGTATCCATTAGGAATTTCTTACTAATTTATCAAATCCAACAAAAAGTTAAAATTTCCAATATATTTTGTTTCGTGATAACGAGTCAGGTAATTCTCTACTAATTCACATTTCAGCACTAGTTTTCATCCTTGTTCTATCACTTCTATGATATGACAAATGTATAATATGCTTAAAGAATTCATTTTTATAATGTAAATTTTTAACTGTGCAGGATTCACATTTCTCTACTGGTACTGTAATTTTTGTGAATAATTTGGTTTACTCTTTTAGCAAATTTATTACAATTAATATTTTTCATTAATGAACTGAAAGTGTCCTAGCAGTTCATGAATGTTCATCAGTTTCATGATGGCATTACTTTTATACACAGCTCCATATTGCTGTACATGTGTTTATTACGAGGGTGTTAATGGAAACCGAACAAAATCTTGCATATTACAGTTTACCTCATTGACTACTAATCATATTATACAATATTATTTAGAATTAGAGGATAATGGTAAAGTGTGTATATTTGGGTTTGTTTTTACATTCTGGTTTGGAGTACTGTATAGTGAAAATTAACGTAACTCCATCCTGGCTGATACATTAATAGCAATAATCATAAACTACAGGGAACAATTAAGGATCACAACTTGAGATAATTTAGCTTTGATAAAATTAAACCTTGTGTGAAGTGTGTAAAGTTAATGACCCAAAATGGCCAGATATAGATATAGTCCCAACAATTGATTCTGTAATGGGAACTATTTTGTGTAGAGCAAACATTTTGTTAATAAAGATTTCTATCAGTTCTGAATAGGACATTTTTCCATTATGTGTTACCAGAGCTGATCGGTGTTTTGTTTTGGTGATTAAAGAGCTAACAAGCTTTGAGTAAGCTACTGTATATTGCATACTGGCAGCCTTATGTCAGCCTCACTGTAAATGCATCAGTGAGATCCAACTTGATACATACAATATATTTTTTTGTGATATAATAGGAATGTACAGGAATTAAATTAATTGTTAATATAATAAACAGCTAGAGATGATAGAGACCAGCTGTAGGTACGTTGTACATGTAAATAAAGAAACTACAAATTTAGTAATTCTTCAACTGGTAGAACCATGTACTTACCAAGATTGTACAAGTTTTCAACTTTACCCATATATCAAATTTAACAGTGCATTATATGCATCAACACCTTATAGCCTCAGGAAATTTAAGTGGTTAACAAAAATTCTGGAAACACATTCTATTTATTTACCTTTTAGGTTCCTTTTCCAAAGTTTAGTACAGTATATGTGCCATTTTCCACATTATTACCCCATGGCAAGGCTAATTACAATACAGTACAGCACTACTATATACACTACTGTAAATTAACAAAATACTGTATTGAATTTTATTCAATAAATTGTTTATAAGTACCTGTACTGTAATTTTTAAATTTTTTAAATTTTAGAAAATTGTAGTTTAGAACATGGCAAAATCCATAGTTTTGTCACAATGCATTTTATTGACTACTGTATTTGTATAAATTAGTGCAATTTTAAGTGTGATGTAGTAGTTAGTGTGGAATGTTTATGTATGAGAGAATGACTATATGTTGTGGTTTGAATCATAGCACTTATTTGTGTTATGGAGCAAAATATTTTGTATGTTTTTCTTTCAATAAATAAACTTACAAAATTACTGTGATATTAATCCTTGAAACCCCTTAAGTTTAATTTTGTTCATAATTTCTTAAAGAGCACTTAAGTGTTCTTAAAGAAATTTATAATAATGTATCTACTAAAATATCCTGAATCCAGAAACAATACACGAACAGAAATGGACAACCATCATTTTGTTTTAAATAATAAATCTGTACAAGAAATGCAAGTTACAGAACAGGTACGGAATTTTACACATCACTGTTCGATGCATTCTGGTTCTACACAGTTAGATAATTTAAACAAAATGGCATGGCCAATGTGGATGATGGTGTGGCCAGTGTGGATAATACTGTGGCCAGAAGTTAGTAGCATGCCCAACCATTTCCCTCCTTCCCAAGGATTGAACCCAGGATCCTTTTGGGCAACTATTCAGAGTCTGTACAGTACTTGTCTTCAAATATTTAATTAATTTTATTTATTTATTTTATATACATACAAGACGGTACATTGGATTGTAAGAGTACATAACATTGGTGTTCTTAGTTAATTTAGTTCGTTTATTATGCACCCCATACCCATCTTGTGGGCGGTAGTGGAAAGGGTTACAGAGGCACATAATAGGCTCGGACTGAACCCCCACAATTCATTTAGCTAAGTTACAATCTTGATGAGCCAGTTAAAAAATTCAATACACATCGTCACATCATCAATGGGCTCGAGATCGACCACAAGTACAGTGTCTAAATTAAGCAACTGACATGTGGAGAGCTAGTGTTACAGTTGATATGTTTGTCCTGCACACCGCCCCCCCTTCCAACAGGCAGAGGTGGATAGGTTACAATCACTTAGTTACTACCTACAGTTAGCAAATTGGGGATATTTGGCTGAGATTTCTGGTAGCAGATCATTTGGAATGGAATATTTACACATCTATGGAACATATGTTATAGAATTGTCTGTGAATTCACTTATCGTTTCGCACTCCATCACATAGTGACGGAGGGTGTGCGAATAATTTTGTTGACACAGTTTACATTTGGTCAGGTCTACATAGCAGGTAATGAGAACTCCTAAAGACACTTGTAACCGAGTCTAAGACGAGCAGTAGTAACATTTAGAAGTTTGCTGATTTTACTGGATGATTCATAGATGTGTGGGTTTCTTGCATGATAGTATGATAGATGGAATCACTGGTGTCGATTATATATTTTATCTCTAAATATAAAAAAAATTATACAAGTGATTACACTAAAGGAATGCTAACACTATAAATCTTACGCTAAAGGAATGCTCCGCTGTGATTACGCTAAAGGAATGTTACACTCTCTAAAATCAGATGTTATGTTTCAAACTCTGCTCTCCTCTCATTATACTACACCCCCTTTTTTTATTCTTTTTTTTAACACAGTTTATACTTTACTCCCAATTACTATTAAGTTTTAGTCGAAGTGTTCCCCCTCCCCCCCCCCCACACCTCGCCCGAAACGCTATGCGTATTAGTGGCTTCAGGTATTGTATGTACAAGCTCTATCTATAAATCCAACATTATGTTTGTAACTGCATCTATTAGCGAGTACCCGTAGCGAGTACCCTACAAAATTAGCTTGTCCTAAATTTTGTAACTGGGGGAAAATGGACAGTATTGGATTACAACAACCACAGGATAGGAAGGGTTAACAGACTAAAGCCATGTGGCCACTGCAAGAGTCGACCAGAAGAATAAAGAAACATTGGCGCATAAAAAAAAACTGGTGGAGAGTGTACGTACACAACTGCATAGCAGATGCAGTTGTGTATCATCTTCACGGAAGAACTGTTTGCAATTTTGTAAGCTCTTCGTCGACTACTTTTCGGACATCAACGTTCGTTTGTCATTGTGGTTGACTCTCGCATTGCTCTCGTGCGTCTGGAGTCATTTAACGCTATGCATCCTGTTATGGTCGAAATCCAACACTGGATGTTCCTCGTCTCTAGCAGAATTCAGACAGTTGAGTTTGTCTGTGTTCCCAGATACGATACGAATATACAGGATAAGATACCCATTAGGGCGAGCCTTGAGGTGAGAACAGATGAAGAGAAGTCGTGAGAGGAAGTGCTGAAGTTGTAGAGAAAGAGCCAGAGCTAAACCCAGCTGCGTGCCTAGAATCGATGCTGGAATAAACCCCTCAACTGGCTAGGCGCTGATTCGGGTCAGAAAGGGCAGCTTTGGCGGTGCTTCTTTATTCTAGGTGGCGACAGTCTGTCTTCTGGTGGTGTCTTCTTTCTTGAGTCTTCTTTCTTCTTACTTCATCATCATCGTCTTCCTCTGTTGTCGTAGCTGCATATGGTGAGCTTTTAGGTCCTGTAGGTCAGAAGGGATGAGATTTGGTAGGAGAGTGGACTAGTCGCACTCACTTAGGATGGCAATTGTAGGACGTGGAATTGGCTCTCACTCCAGAACGTGGCTCACACGTGCCCGTTCTGGATTGTGCTCTAGAAGTTCTTCATATTGCTTGTTGTAGATTTGGCTGTTAAATTTCCTAAATTTAGGAGATATATAAACGGGTTTGTCTCGTTGCAGAGACAGGTCTTGCATAGTAGGAGAACCGAGGTTCGATGCCTCGGGTGAGTGAGCCTCAACATCAACAGAGGCAGTAGAATCATCAGCAGATGATAAGCGGAAGTCAGGTGACGAATGAGCTTTTGCTAGAACGAGAAGTTTGCATTGAGTCAGTTGAGACGTCATGCTGAGAAGGTGTAGGAGCGATAAATTCAGGAGGCAGCGTAGCCAATGCACACAGGCTAACCATAGCCCGTGCTTCTTGCCCCGCTCCTGTGCCAGGTAAGTTACCTTCTCACCATAGCACCATAGCCTTCTCACCATAGCCATAGCTGAATCTATAACAACAACAACAACGTAGCCAATGCAGGTTGATGAGGGTGGACGGCTGGAGACACAGACAGATCAGCGAGTACAGCCGAAGACACGGTGATATCAGAAGGTGAAAAGGTAGAAGCAGCAGACGTTGAAATCGTGAGGAGGTCCTCTAGAACAGTAAATGTTGGGAGGCCATTTGCAGCATTGCAGTTTGTTGAGAATTCGGACGAATTCTTTGAAGTTTGGGCCTGCTATCTTGTCAGCCAGGAATGTGAGTGCATAAACAGTAGGTGCAGGGAGGGGGGGGCGACCTAAAGGTCAGCGAACATATCTGAATGTTCTGTACTAGACCGTCGTTAAATGTCTGGACTGTGGAGGGATCATAAGTGCTGTACCACTCTGATACATGAGCAACAAAGTCTTCACGTCGAGCAGGAGGAACACTGAGCCGTTTGCGTTTAAAAGTCCCACCGGGCAGGATGGTATTTCCGATACATAGAGTAGTCAATCTAGGGTGATGATCTGACAACAAATCTGTTACAATAGATGAATTTGTGCGCCCCTTGAGGGACTTGAAGTAGAGGGGGGTAGAAATAGCCTAAGCTACTCTATCCCTTTGAGATGTATTTCTTGCTTATCTCAATAAACATACTTGAACTTGAACTTGTACAATAGATGATGTGCACCAGACGTGAGAGACGTTGAAACCAACACAGAGGTCTAGAATGCCTCCACAAATATGCGTGGGTTCAAGGTCACCCACAATCTGCACATCTTGGTGCAGACTATTTAGTAGCGACAGCAGTTGATTCCCATTACCGTCACTGAAGCGAGAGCCACCAATGTCCTTGTGTCTAGCATTGTAGTCACCAAGAATGATGGTTGGCTCCGCTTGAACGCAGGCGGGAAGATCAATATAATTTATCTTTCCTGCTGGAGGATATAGATTAAATACATTTGCTTTTCAAATCAAATCAAATCAAATGTTTATTCAGGTAAAAGTACGTATATAGAGGATTAGTTACAAATATAATGTTGGATTTATAGATAGAGCTACTACATACAATACCTAAAGCCATTAGTATGCACAGCGTTTCGGGCAAGGTGAGGCGGGGAAAAAAACACTTAGACTAAAACTTAATAGTAATTGAGCTTAAAGTATAAAATGCATTGAAAGAAAAAATAATAGATAAAAAAGGAGGGGGGAACATAGTAGAAAATAGCCAGTATACAAGTTGGTCAACAAACAGCATTGTTTAAAAATAGTAAGACATGGGTTGACATTTAGGGATAAGATACTGGTTGAGAGAGGTACAGCCTTTGACATGATTGGGAAGGTCATTCCACATTTTGGATCCCTTGATTTGTAGAGCATTTCTAGTTTGATTAAGTCGTACTCTTGGAATATTAAATAGGTATTTGTTTCTGGTGTGGTGCCCATGGGTTCTGTTACAACCTTCTAAGAAGCTTTTAAGGTCAGGATTGACATTACAATTCAGAGTTGTAAATATATAGAGTACACATGAGAGGATGTGCATTGACTTAATAAAAAACAACAACTTCTGACCTAATTAGGTGTAAACACACCTAACCCATCAACTCCTGGCAGAAGTTGATGGGTTAGGGATTCTTTGATGTATAGAATGCAAGAGTTGCTGGATCTGAGGCTGTAAGAAACAAATGAGGGCAATTTCGGGGGTGCAACATTATGTTTGTAACTCTGCATCTATGTATGTACTTTTCCTAAATAAAATATTATTATTATTATAAAGTCTCCCCTGACGTCGCAGGACTCGTTTTCTCTGAATATATTGTTAATAGAAATTGTACAGGCGTGTTATCTGCTAAGGAATTATATTTCCATTTATGCACCCCATATTTGCTAAATATTTATACGTATTTTATCCCAAACATCTTTTTTCTAGATATAAATACAACAAATAATGCACGGGAACGCAATCTTTGCAAACAAGTATACTTATAAACATCTAATAATAAAACCTTGGCCAGTATGGTCAGCCAGACGCTATTCCGAATACAAAAATTCCCAAGATAAATACAGATTTCCCACTTAGTTTGACACAATTTTGATTTTTGAGTAATATATTCGAATAGTATGATGAATTTAGTGATTTTATTTCATGTTTGAAGAGTGTAATGACGAGAGAGGTGTGGAGAGGAAAGTGTTGAGACGGAAGGTGGTGGTGTGGTGTGTGGCTGACCATTAGCGTGACGGCAGAGCTCACATGACCCTCTCGGCGGTCCCGTGACCAAACAAACCATTGCCCGCCACCCACAAACACCCCTCCTCCACCTCCATGGACATGATAGAGACCGGCCTGGACACCAGGTAGGTTGGGGCCGCCGGCTGTGTCCGGCTGTGGCGCCGCTGACGCTCCAGGGAGTGAAGGTGCTCCACGGGGAGGACATTAGTGCAGCTGGCCCAGGGTAAAGGAGCCCAGCTTGTGGTAGAGGAGGAGGAAGCTGCTGCTTGCCTCTACAGTGCCTCTACTGCCTCTCTGTCAGGAGTGGCAGCCCACGGAGGGCTCGGCGCCCCCTCCTCAGGGTCAGCCTCGGAGGGGGGGGTGGTCTATTCTGGAGCTTCTTTCACATTTAAGACAGTCATGAGGTGGGCCATAATTTGGCTGATTTAGTGTAGAATATTGTAATAATAATAATTCATTCACAAGAAGGTACAATGGCTTGGTAAGATTTTACATAAGCTTGGGTATTTTTACATTCATGCAAAGCTACTAACACGCGTAGGGTTTCGGGCAGGTAATACATGCCCCTTTTTCTTTTTTTTTAATACCTTTAGGGAGCCGGTAGGCTGAGTGGACAGCACACTGGACTTGTGATCCTGGGTTCGATCCCAAGTGCCGGTGAGAAACAATGGGCAGAGTTTCTTTCACCCTATGCACCTGTTACCTAGCAGTAAAATAGGTACCTGGGTGTTAGTCAGCTGTCACGGGCTGCTTCCTGAGGGTGGAGGCCTGGTTGAGGACCGGGCCGCGGGGACACTAAAAGCCCCGAAATCATCTCAAGATAACCATCTCAAAGTAACCTTGGACTTTAGGAATTTGGCAAGAACAGGCAGTGTGTGTGTGTGCATTGAAAGTGAGCATATTATGTGTTGTCAAATACTTCTGAGGATGAACTGGGCTATTTTGCTGTGGTTTACTATGGTAGTGATTACAGGAGAGTAAAACTTAAGAAAGGGATAAATACCACAGCTGTGACTGTGTTTCTGGAATAGGCAAGATAACATTGTAGAAGTGCGAGGGATGACAAGGCAGACTCTAGGTACTGCAGGCCAAGAATTCAGAAGACTCGGGGGCGCTATGCGAGTTGGTAGCTTTGCAAGAATGGAAAAACATCAATGCTATGTACTCTCGTAAACCCATTGTACCTTCTACAATACAAATGAACAAATCCACAAGGGCGGATGGATTTGTTCATTTGATGCATCACGTTATTGTGATTTCTGTGTGTAATAAGTCTTAGGTTTGGTAGGGGTTCTCTAGGCTCATGTACAGAGGCTCGACTAAAATTTGGATTGTATCATTCCAGATATGTATGAAGTTCTGATTTTTTAAATATTGCTAATTTGTGGCTATATGTACAGTATCAAAGTTTTGTGCACTTTTCTTATAGAAAATGATAAAATACTAGTACCTATACATGTTTCTGCATTTTAGACATATTATTTGTACTAGTACAATATATATGAAAAATGATTTTGCAAATAAATAATAAATATTCCTGGAATAATATGAAACTTTTTCACATAAATATTTGTAGCACAGTGGTAGCATAATGCAATGCCAGTATTATAGGAATGATTTGCTCATAGGTATAAATTCTGAAATATATATTTTCCTTGTACTTGCATGCTTAAAATGAATATAAAGTATTTGATGAAGATTAAGATAAACAATAGTTAAATACAGTATTAGTGACAATAATGTAGTATTTAATTATTCAATGCGAGTCTTAAGAATGATGCTTATTAAAAACCTAAGATTGAGGAAGATTGGAGCAGCTAGCATGCCCTGTATATACAATGTCAAGCCACCCCTACTCAAGTGTTTTGTCAGGTCCGCTACTTCGATAAGAGTAACAACCAGGCAACCTTACACCGTGCACAGGTACAGTACTGACATCCAGAGTCAAGTCCAATATTGTTATACTGTTCTAAAGTAGCTCTCAAAATTGATTGTCACATGATTCAAATAATTTTTAGCTCAAACATAGCAGTTTGCTAAGTATTGTAGTGTCAATATTTGCCCTATGTAGGCTATAGGTCTATACAGTAGTTGCAGTACTCTTGTGGGATGGCCATGTTGGAACATTGGCTGAAGGTGTTCTCAGCTGCATACATTATTTTTTCTTCTTTGTATCCACAGTCTTCTTTATGATAAAGATTTATCAGGAAGATTGTTTGTGTTATATTTAGTAATATAAATATTACTGCCAAATAATGTGAAAATCACATTAATTGGCCGCAACTCGTTACAGTGGAGACAAGGATTGTGATTGTGAGGACGACAAGGTTACTCTTGCTCAGCAGCTGGCAATTGACGACAGTATTGTAAGGGACTCTACTTCACCTATTACTTCACCTATTCTTGGTACTGGTTTTGCTCTTCGTCCCGAGTCGGAACACTCAGGTAAACTTGACAGCCTTTGTAGCATGATAAATACTTTGACCTATAATACAGTACATAAAATCCAGAATGAAATTGTTGTTGTAGCCTGTATGTAAAGAAGGAAGAGAGAAATAGGAAAATAAAGTATTGCTCCCTAAGGAGAAACTTAATGGTTTTGTTGATTAATTTTAAGCTCCTTGCAAAATATTTCCTCCTGCTTCATACCAATAATTAAAGCTGCACATGACATTTTACTGTCTAAAACAATTTGGATCACATTGTAGAATTTGCCTGTGTATTAAAGATTAAAATTGTTAGTCAATCTTGTCATGTGTTTTTCTCAACTGCACATGCGAGAAGCTATCACGCCTCCGGTATAGGTAAGTACTTGGGTCTGGCCACTTCTGCAAGATACTAACAAGATCAACAGGGTGCTTAAGCAAAGGCCAAATCTTACCTTTGAGATGTGCTTGCCATTTTAAGATGTTCAACCCATGATGCATATAACATGTTAAGATGTTTTATGTACTTTGCAAAATTTGCAAATCCTGCTGTACACAGGGTTTCCAGTCGGTATTTGCAACCCATCCTCCTGTTTAGATAGTAGTTTTTGTAACTAAGTGTGCCATAGTACAAACATTGACACACTAAATAATTAGAATTTGGTTCTACAGTACTGTATTCACTTTATATAGTCAAAAAAAAAAGCTAAAAAAACAAACTTAAATATTTCTAGACCTACTATAGCAATATCTACTATATTAGGCCTCAGATAGCATACATTAGTCCTATGAAGGTTCGGTTCGTTAAGGTTGTCTTTGCAACACAAATACAAAGGGGTCTGGTAGCTGAGGGGACAGTGCGCAGGACTCGTAATTCTGTGGCCCGGGTTCGATTCTCGGACCAGGCAGAAACAAATGGGCAAAGTTTCTTTCGCCCTGATGCTTCTGTTCTTAGCTGTAAATAGGTACCTGGGAGTTAGACAGCTGTTACGGAGCTGCTTCCTGGGGAAGTGTGTGTGTGTGGGGGGAGAGGAAGGAATTAGTAGTTACAGTTGATTGATTGACAGTTGAGAGGCGGGCCGAAAGAGCAGAGCTCAACCTCTGCAAGAACAAATAGGTGAATACAAAACCTTTTCCAGTTTGTCCAAATTCAGTAGTACAGATTTCTACTTTGTGTTGTACATAGATATACTGTATATACTATGGTCCTCATCATTACTATAAATATTACCAAGACAGGAGGCTGGGCTGGCATTTTAGTCTGGTAAAAATCTGCCCTCTTGAAGGAAACAGATTTTTGAAAGAAATCTGCCAGGGAGGAAATAGACTCTGTTCCTGGATTTTCTTCTGTTGTAGGGGAGGACCTTAGGGATTTGGGTTGCGTGTGGAGGTTCCTTGGTTGTTCTTTGACTTTCTTTGTACCGTCATTTGTTGACGTGAGGATTTGTTTCTCCTCATTTAGGGATTGTTTGTTTGGCGTGTATAATTTGTTTTTTATATCCTTCATCCTAGTACAGGTTGATACTTCCTCAGCCCCTTTCCCCCTTCTGGTACTTTTCCAAGTACAGTACGTCATTTTCTTACTATAGATATACAAATTTGAGTTGTTAATTTTATTTTTTAGCCCCCATGTACTTTAGAGTCAAGGAAATTACGGGGACAAAATGAAAGTATAGTACCTGTACTGCAGGTCAAGGGAAAAGCTAAGTGCATTGGTCAGAAAGGATCTTTTCATCTACACCCAAAGCCTTATTTATTAACCGGTCTTTTCCATTCCATATTTATTGCAAGAACTTTCTCTTTGAAGTCTTTATCAACCATTTTAGTTAGGCATTTTACCTTTCAGAAAGACTTTCTCACGCAAGAATGCAGGAGTTCTTAGTTTTGTTTACTCGGCTAAACTTATTTGTTTCCCTTTGGAGTCTTGTTGTGATAACATTTTTAAAGTACTGTCGACACCCAACCCACACATCTGAAAATAAAGGAAAGGACGATGTTTTAGTCTATCTTGGACCATTATTGTGTGACTTGAAAGTCCAGGGTGAACCCGAATATTGCCACTCCCTTTATTTTCAGATGTGTGGGTTGGGCATCTTAATTTTCAGCCATGTTAATGTTACTTACCATGTTCTTAAGTACATTTTACAGTAATTTGTAGAATTGCTGTATATTGATTTTAAAAATTTTCCCTATCCTAAGGACACAACTTGTTCAGTAGGCATTATTCCGAGAAATCTTAAGAATAGAATTCTCCTAAAGAAAAGTCTTCCCTCTCCTCTACTACTGACTAGGTTGCAATTCCTTGATAATAGTTTATATTCCATAATTATTTAGGTCATGTTCTCATTTTAAAATTGTGTTACAGGTATTTAAATATAACTAATAAATAGAAATTAAAGGTTATTGCAATACATAAGAGAATCTTATTTATTTTAGTGTATAACTAACTAGTGGTTAGAACTTGAGTTTTAACAAGTGTGTGTGTGTGTGTGTGTGTGTGTGTGTGTGTGTGTGTATGTATGTACTCACCTAGTTGTGCTTGCGGGGGTTGAGCTCTGATTCTTTGGTCCTGCCTCTCGACCGTCAGTCAACTGATGTACAGATTCCTGAGCCTACTGGGCTCTATCATATCTACATTTGAAACTGTGTATGGAGTCAGCCTCCACCACATCACTGCCTAATGCATTCCACTTGCTAACTACTCTGACTCTGAAAAAGGTCTTTCTAACATCCTTGTGGCTCATTTGAGTACTTGGTCTCCACCTGTGTGTGTGTGTGTAGTTGTCACAATTGCTAATATTCCTTCATGCAATTGCTTGTTTTCGATTGCTCTACCTTCTTTGTGGGTTTTCCTCTTTGCCTGGGTTGATCCCAAGACTCCCAAGGTATCACTATACCAGTAGTGGACCAGACTGCTTTTGGTGTCCAGTAGGTGCTGGTGACTCACAGGGGCCTGGGTGGCTTTGGAAGCCACCGAGGGAAGCCCCTCCCCTAAAAATGTAATAAAGTAGCATATAATTGTTGACATGGCCTGAACATGTCATCTATTGAATTCAGTAATTATATTTCATCTAGAAGAAATTATCATGTAGATTTTTCAACCGGTCCTAATAGCACGTCGCATTTTGACGAATAATTTACCCAAGGCCAGTAACTATCGTACTAGGAAATGGTTGCGACACAAAATTCACATAATGTCCCATTTTCTGTTTGTGGGTCCTCTTTGTAGGTTAGGATAAGGCACTTTAGTACGAGTTTCCTTACATTGGAAACATTCACGAGAATGGGTTGGATTTTTACCTACATTAGGAAGTTTGGTGTAAATGTTAAATTACTTTATGCTGGCAAACAAAACATTATCCAGAATGTGACCAGTGGATGACATGTGATCTCAAAGTAATATTGAATGGTGATAAACACCTTTTATTTTTTTAACTCAGTAGGACATTGTTTTATTTCAGGTACACTGTCTTACAGAGTGGTACAGTTTGCCTCAGACGGGGCTGTTGACAGTTTACCACAGAGTGGGGTACAGACAACTGTTCCCAGCCTATTGGCTAGTTCACAAGCAAACGGATCGCCCGGCGATTCGGCAGAAACACGGTTGGCACTTATTGCATCTAGTGACGTGCCTACTGATGGTAGCAGTGCTGTCGTAGTTTCAGGGGGTATGTTGTTTGTGTTCTCATAGTAAATTGCCATTTTACATGATAAATGGCAATGTATAATAGTAATTGCCATTTCTAAGGGCATATTGCAGTTTGTCATTATGCTCTCAATTGAGGAAGATGTGTATCAACTCATTTACAAGAATTGATAACAAACTAACAATTTGCATTGGTTCTTGATTATGCCTTTAAAACTGAAATCTTTAAAAATTTATACTGTACAGTGAATTAATATCCCCCAGCTGAATATTTGGAATTATGAAGGAACTATTATCACAGAGATGGATTACTGTCAATCATTTTGAGTTCAATTGAAGTCGGATCAATGTTATGGGAGCTGTTTAAGTGGGATTTTGAGCTGGGATAGCTCCTGAATCTATTGTAGAAAGCTGAAGGTATACATATACATTATACAGTATGTATAATGTCATGGAATAATTAGTATATATTAGTTCTACTTAAAATTCTCATCCTAATTTTTTTATATAAATTTTGTCAATGTGTATGTTACAGGTCTCATGTTAAGCTTCACTTTAACAACAACCTAAAAGTTGCGAATAAAGTTTCTGGTTCTAATAATGAGTGTGCTATGCTGTTATTGTGACTTGTGTAATTAATGTATTGTACAAATCCACAAGGGCCGTGATGAGGGTTCGAACCTATGTCTGGGATGATCCCAGATGCGCCTTAGTTGACTGTGCCATGACATGATTAAAAGAATTGCAACCTGGAGTGCTCCTTGCCCTCACAAGGATCCTGCAGCTTCTCCGAAGCACAAACTGGGGTTTCACACAATTCCCCCATGCACCTGGGCTCTGTGCATGGAGGAAATTGTGTGAAACCCCGGTTTGTGCTTCGGAGAAGCTACGGGATTCTTGTGAGGGGCAAGGAGCACTCCAGGTTGCAATTCTTTTAACCATGTCATAGCGCAGTCGACTAAGGCGCGTCTGGGATCATCCCAGACATAGGTTCAAACCCTCATCATCACGGCCCTTGTGTATTTGTTTATTTGATATATCATGCTTTTGTGATTTCTGTGTGTATTAATGTAATGTATTTTGTATGTAAACTTTCCCAGTTGTAAATGTGCAACCATTTATGAATAAGTCTTTGATTTGATTGATAATTTTTTTAATTAATTTTGACCAGACAGCAACCTGTTGCATTAGGAGAGCTCTTCTGCCTTTTTTTTTTATAGAACACACCTCTGGATATTTTGATGCCAAAATCACATTGAAAAATATATTTAATGGAAAGTTTGTTTGTAGTGCTTTGATCTCTGGTGTGAATTCAGATTAGTGTAGAAGTGAGGTGCACCTCCATCTGGACTACTGTGTCCGAGCTTGGAGACCTCACCTTCTAAAAGACATATGGAAATGATAGTGGAGTAGGTTGGTGGCTACAGTTGTGGTAAGTGTCATGGCTGTGTTGATGGTAACTGCAAGAGGTGGTATGGTAGCAGTTGTGGTGTTGGTTGGGTTTAACCACTACCTGAGAGAATGTGACCATCTGAGTCATTAGAAATATGTGTAGAATAATAAACACCCACTTTGTTTAACACTCCCACTTAAACAGTGGGAGCCGGTCGGCCGAGCGGACAGCACGCTGGACTTGATCCTGTGGTCCTGGGTTCGATCCCAAGCGCCGCCGAGAAACATTGGGCAGAGTTTCTTTCACCCTATGCCCCTGTTACCTAGCAGTAAAATAGGTACCTGGGTGTTAGTCAGCTGTCACGGGCTGCTTCCTGGGGCTGGAGGCCTGGTTGAGGACCGGGCCGCGGGGACACTAAAAAGCCCCGAAATCATCAAGATAACCACATTGTTTGAATTAGGAAAATACCATTAGTCAAATATAGATACTGTCCTTAAGATTACTCCATTTTGCACCCGCAAGATAACATAAGATTTTAAGGGTTAACAAATGTTAATATTCTTGTTTCAGAAGCTGTTCACTTGAGCCAGTTAAGCAAGTTCCAGCTATGTCTGGGTACAAGTGACAGGATGAACAACCCAGCGGGGTTTCTTCCTATTGGGGAGTGTTGTACATGCTGCTATGGCGGTATGTCCACTCACAGGATGGGTGGCGCTGCCCAATAAATTCGCCCTTCGGGGCAAAACTAAATTAAATATGAATTATCTGCTTTGGAGAGAGTTTAACATGGAGTGGCAAAAATCATCTTGGAACTAAGTTAATTCTCATAACAAGAATGGTTAAGGGCCACAGGACTAACAAAGCAAACCAGACATGACAGGACTGATCTCATAAAGACCATTAAAATACTGAACAAATTGGGAGGATGTTAAAGCAGACCATTTAATTTAAATGGTCCAGTGTAATGCATAAAAAGTACCCACCAAACACACAGCGAAACTATGACATTGCTACAACGTTCGAACAAGATTTAACACCACCTGACCAGTTATAACAACCAATATAACAAGTTGTAACAACGTTCTAATATGTCAAAAACACGTTAAGCCAAGATGTTACAACTTTATTACAAGTTGTAACAAGCGGAAAATAGGGTCAGTTACGGTTTGTGTTTCCAGGGTAAGGCTTGACCTTTAAGTCAATAAGCTACAAAGTAAGACAGGAAACAAGAGATGCTTCTTCACCCATAGTTACAAGCCCATGAAACTGCCTACCTATAAAAGCTGTAAATAGCAAGCCATTACTTTAGTTTAAAATCCAGATAGAAAAAATACAGGATGTATGAATCTAACAGATATGCAATCAGTTGGAAAAACAATCTTACTGCACCTTTATTACTAAGCATCTCAAACTGGTCATTGTGAGCTTTTAATCTGTACTGTTAATTTAAAGAATATATTGAGTACATGTTTATGTAGTTTTTAAAAATGTTCAACGATTTGCTTGGTAAATATGTTACAGGATTTTTATGCTACAAATTTTTTTTCCAGGTCAGTTTTATGTAATCAGTGACGTTCTTACCAATTCTACTCCAAGAAATCTTGCTCCACGAACCAGTGAGAGTGTCATGAGCCCCAGGCTAGGAGGTTCCACCCGCGAGGAGAAACGTAGAGTTACACACAATGAAGTGGAGCGCAGAAGAAGAGACAAAATTAATACTTGGATATGTCGTCTTGCAAAAATTATTCCCGATTGCCCAGAAGCTCACTCTAAGAGCTCACAGGTACTACTAACAATTCATTTTAGTTAAATTATATACACTATTTAGTACAGTAATCAAAGGTCCCTAATTCAGGTACAGTATTTCAGTTAGACCCCTTAAACAATTAAGCAAATCCACCCACTGCATTTTTCCCTCAAAATCCGGAATTCTCAAAGAAACTGGATTCTGGAGGAGGATGCAGTGAAATCCAGATTGCCAGGCACAGTAATTATCAAATACCTGTAGTATTTTTCTTAATTTTGCTTATTTGTAGCGTCATTTGAGGCATCCAAACCCACTGTGGGGGCATGCATTGTGTTCTTGTGTGCGAGTGCAGTCTGGCCTCTTGATTCTCAAGAACGTTCACTTTCTTTCTACTAAATCATTATTTTAAAGTTAAAGCCATGTTGTGCAGCATGAGTGCACTAGACATAAGTGTGTGTGGGTGCATTAAAGAACCGAAATAGTAACTTCTTTGCAATAGATTAAACTGAGTTACCGGTAATTGAAAAACGAGATTCTAGCTGGGGAGGATTTAGATGTTTATCAATGATTTATAAAGCACTGTAGCTAGGAACTGGGCACTGATGAAGAGTTAGTGATGCTGAAAGGGCATTAACTGTGTACGTTGAGGACTTCAAGACCAGGTCAGGGGTGACTGCATAAATATAATAGATGATCTGCCATAGCAATATAACTATTTTGCTGCCAGTGTTATCAAGACCAGCATGTTAGAGCTACAAAAAGGTAAGTAAACAAATTAATTTTTATGCATTTTTTCTTACCCATTATTATTTATGGGGGCACAACCATTTAAATATCTTGTATCTAAATAGGCATAGACATGCATTATATCACTTGGTATAAGAAAAACTTGGAATATTTTGTGATAGCCAAAGAAGGGGCAATTTTTGCAAAATCAGCATGGGTCTGGAATGATATAATCAGAATTTTGAAGACAACAATGTACAGTAGTTGAATTTGTTAAGTAGCGGTAAACTTGCAAACTACACTAATTGGGGTAGACGCTCGACACTTGTGACTCGTAACAGTTTACCATTGTTGGAGACAGAAAGCCTGTATTTAGGCTTATTGAGGCCCCACTTTGCCTACGATTAACCTTTCCTAGAATGAAACCCACAACCAGGTGCTTATTTATCATTAGGTGAACAGAGGCGTCAGAAGAAAAGAAATGTTCCGTCCGTTCCTATCCTGCCCAGGGATCATACCCGGGGCCCTCAGTTGCGAGCCGATCCTCAACTCTACTGTACTATGGGTTTTTCAATACCCCCCATGAACTGGTTGAAAAATACTAGGTTACTCATATGTAAATTTGTGTATTGTTAGGCTAGTGAGGAAGTTATTAAAATATTTTGCAACACAAAAACCCAGTCATAGTTCTGGTTCATTGTGTATGTTCACTTTTATGGCCTAATGATGATAATGCATTCATAGAAGAGCCGACTAGTCTATCAACTCCATACATAATGATTGTCACACCACATACCTGCTTAGCCCAAAATAGTCAGCATAGATGAGCAAGTTTATTACACATTTTATAGAAGAATTTGGTAACACTGATACCAATAAATGTTATTGGTAAACAATAAAGAATTGCCCCCAACAAATAATACACGGCTAGAAAGTAAAAACTTTGCATGTGTGCCTTAAAGTATATTAAATTGTTGCATTATCATACAGTATACAGAAATCTCTCTCAAATGGATAATATCAGTAACAAGAATGGAATAATAATAATAATAATAATTCTGTCGCAGGTAATGATGTATGCATTAAAATGTGAATACCAAACAAGCACTCGTATCGCAAGTAAAGGTTGCATACAATGAGTCACAGTAACGTGGCTGAAGAGTTGGCACCCAACCCACAAGTGTGGGTCAGGTGTCAATTCTAAATAAAGCTTTATGCTGGTCTAAATCAAATCATGCTCATATCCTCTCCAGTTTTACTGTGAACACCAAATCTCTGTCGCACTTAGCACATAAATAACCTGTAGATGCTGTCTTGAAAGTACAATAGAAGAAGAATATATCATTAGGTAGTGGAGCTTTGCTAAAATATAATTTACAAGGAAAACATTTCACCATAATATTGCACAATAATTATTTCACTACTCACCAATGATGATCAACATGGGCCAGACAAGACAACTTTTTGACATATCATCTACATGTACAAAGTTTCAATGTTATCAAAGTTCTTTCTGCAAATATTGCACAGAGAAAGCACTCTGCCTTCTAAGAAATCACGACAGCTCATTCTAAGGAGATTTAGTGGTTACTACCTCTTCCACATGTTATTTACACTGACTAGAACATTTCTACCTGCTGTATTTTCACTGTAGCACCAAATAGTTGTTGATTACAAAATATATTATAACACATTTCAGAAATCCTTTTTAAAACTTAAGAGGCAAGACCAAAAAAAGATAACTTCAACCCCTTCAAGCACACTTGGGCAAGTGTCGGGCAACAGTGGGGATAAGAGAGAGAGAGAGACAATGGGTGGGTAGGGCAAGTATTTGTGGGAAAGGGGGAATTGTTTGGTTCAGGAATAGGAAGGGGACAAGGGTGGATTGGGATGCAGTTGGGTGGAGGTGTGGTTGGGTCTGAGGTAGAATTGGCTCGAACAGTACTCTCCTACTTTTATTTGTGGGGACGGAGCCTCGACCTCTCGATGTTCAATCAACTGGTATATAGAATTTCATAAGCGTATTGGTCTGTCATATCTACATTCAAACAAGAGATGACAAATCAGTGATGATAACTTTAAGACTAGTGCCATTTATGATAAAATGATGTTGCACACTAATAGCCCCATTCAGAACTGGGGAAGTTGCTGACCTAGAGGATATATAGAGAATTTTACCACTTGAATCCATTCAATAAAACGTTAAAATTATCAGGACTATTTAAAATCCCTCAAACTGCACTCTTTGAAGTGCATGCAAGAGATGCATAATAATTTATGCCTGGAAAATATTACTGGGACATGTTTCAAACATTCACCCTAAAATAATTTCTTGAGACCAGGAGTCATGACAAAGTGCAAAATAACCCCATTGAATAGCAGGGGTGTAATAGGTACTGTATTGTACTGTAAGACAATTTCATAAACATTAGGGACCCAACAATGGGGGACTCTTAAATATAAGAGGCATTAATATCAGCTCTTGATGTTCAGTAGTCTGCAAGAAACGAGACACTGAACAAGGAATGATGGATACAGGTCCTTGGTGGGGAGCAACGGAGTATCCTCAGATGGAGACCAGAACCTCTTTGCAAAGGCATCCACCCATTCTTTTCTGGCACTTTAAAGTACTTGATGCAGATGAACACCAGATTTACACATTTAAGAAGGGAAAATCCAAATTTAATATGTTGCAGAATGCTATCAATTCAAAATGGTGAGGAGTGTGGCGATAAGAAACAATGATAGGTCCGATGTGGTGAGGAAATACGTGTTAGGTCATTTTCATAAGGTTCATGATAAAGAATTATAGGTACAGGTATACCATTAAATAGGGTCATATAAAATAAATGAAGCATACGGAGATGTTCCAACATTCACTCAGTCTTTCACATTCACCGGTCACTCGTTCTTTCACACACAGCCACTCCCTTATGCACAATACTGTACACTTGAACTAGTCAGTGTGGTCTCTGGGTGGTCACATCACTCAAACCTTCCCTCACCACTCGCGTCTTTCTGTTTGTCTACTTTTGTGTGTGTGTGTCCATCCCTCATTTTTGTGTGTATCTTGGCCGCTTTTTCCTTCTCTCATTCCTGAGCAGTTGGTGGTGGCAGTGCAGACTCGGCCAATACGTTCAGACACAACAGAAGCAAGTTGTCATCACTTGAGGGATGGAAATTATAAATTTATTTAAATATTTGCCCTCATATACATTCACAAATTGTTTGAGAATCTCAAAACCTGCTCATCTATCTCTCACTTTGGTGAGCATACGGTTAATACCTCATTAGTTCTTACAATTTGAATTTATTCAACATCATTTGCTAATCTTTGTCATGATTAAATGGAAGATATGTGTCTTGTCACTCGTGCCTGCATCTATGACAGAAATTATGCCAATTTTGGATGTCCTCCCAGCAACTCCTGTATATCCCAGGATTGGCCCCACAGAGTAGGAGTGTAGCAGATGTGGTATTGTTGGCCTCCCTTCTACAAACATGCAGGAGTCTGGCATTTTAGTATGTAAACTAATAGAAATTTATCTACTTTTTTGTGCAAAATGTTATAGTTGGCTCTGTCCTGATGAGTGCCAGCAGGCCCCATAAGCTGCACATATGTAGAGCACTTTAACATGGACTCGACAGACTAGATATTTTTAAGTGTTAAAGACCAGATCACTAGGTTGTAGCCCTAGTCGACTGTCAAGTTAGCTTAGTCCAGCTGAAGTAGAAGACTACCACTCCATCAAAATCTGAAGCAGTTCTCCTTGAGCAGTCATAATTACCAATAATAAGTAACGATCACCATTAACTTGTATTGATCGAGGTCTACCGTTGGTGTTGGCTGCTCTATTCTATTTCACGATCAAACCTATATGTGCCACCTTCCTTCAAAGATGCATTTTCATGGCTGAGTTTTGTGCAATTTTGTATGCTCTAAGCCAGCTGCTTATGTCCCAACATTCATTTGTCATTGTAGTCAACTCCCATAGTGCCTCACAATAGCTAAATGAAGTATGGGGTTCAGTTCCTGAACACATTGTGCCTATGTAACCCTTTCCACCATTGCCCACAGAATGGGTATGGGGTGTATAATAAAGTACTATATTGAACTCTCGCAGTGCCCTCATGACTCTAGACTCTTTTAACCCTTCCCATCCAAAGGTGGTTGAAATCCAGTACTGGCCATTTCCCATTCCCATTAGATTTAAGACAGTCGAGCTATGCTGGGTGCTCAGCCATGTTGGTGTTACCATTAACGAACTTGCAGACACTGCTGCTAGAGACCCCGTGCCAGTCCTATCTCC